TTCCTTTGATGTACCGTGGACTGAATGTATGTATTAGCTAAATAATAAACTCATCATTTACCAAAAGAATATGCCAACAACATTAAAACCGGCCGAGCTTTCACTGTGGGTATCCTATGTTAGTGATGTTATTGAAACGCTTTCACAGGCTGAGGCGACCACCTCTTTGGAGGCTGCCTGAGTGCTAGTTTTCTCTGTCGGGGAATCGATCGCTAGTGCGCAATGTCCACCGGCTGTCGGCAAGGCGAACACTACGCTTTGTCCATTGGATTTTACTTTCTCACGTGGTCGCAATGATATACTGCATGCCGCTTATCCGACAAGGAAACTAATTTCTTTACAGGTCAGCGACGTAAAGTGTGCATCTCTTCAAATGAAACTGAAAGGCTACAAGCGGTGATGTCCTTAATGCCGAATTCATCGGATTCGGAATGCATCAGGAAAAAATACGCACATATCACTTTTTACTAAGTGCTTGTCTTTTTTCGACCATTAATAGCTGCGTCTGGCTTCTAGTCGGTAAGTTACTTCGTCTTGGTCCAACAAAGATAGTATTCAGGACGAGATGATGGTGCTCAACACAAATCAACGATGACGTGGAAAGCTAAAGCTCTGATAGGTGCCTGAACCTTTATTATTTTTGATAAACATTCTAGTGATAATTTATCACTTTAGTGATAATCACCTCGCAAGGAGTCAAAATTCATTCCGATGGTAAACCAATAACAAAGAGGATCAGATTCAGTACCTATTTGTTTTAAATTAATTTTTGGAAAGCGAGTCATCAAAGGATTATTGCTGGCAGATTCTTTCATTTTCGAGCGCCTCCGTTTTTCAATAAGTGTAAAAATTTAGCCAAATTTTTAACTTTTGATTTAGGCTGATTGCAAGAAATCACAACTTTTGCAGTTAAACTCCAAGGAATTTTTTAGAAACTTTAAAACAATTTTTTTTAAATTTGTTGGCTTAATTTACGTGGATCCGGCATGAAAGATTCATGCAGTTTGCGTTTGCGTATAACTGTATTTTAAAGTCAAACCTGCAAAGCCATGAGATCGCCAGTAGCGGCAACCCAAACACCCCAAATAGCAGGTGTTGTTAGAATTGCAAGATATGGTACTTTTGCGCTTCTTGTCGCTGCAGCGCGCAAACTGGTCGAAGACTTGTCGCGTTGTATTCGCTCCAGTTCGATCTGTTTCACCAGTGGATGATCCGCTGAATTTTCTTGTTTATAATACGCATCTTCTGCTCATAAAATGCTTAGTCAAGCATCTATTAGATCTACTGAGACGGAAATAAAACCTGGCTGGTTCCGGAACAGTAAGACCCATATTCCGAACAAAATAAACCCCATGCCAGCATGAACATAATATACAGCTGGCCAACCATACTTTGAAGCACATAACTGAAAAGAAGGTGCGCTCTGAACAGATGCCAGGCTGGAACACATACAACTTAATGGACCGAAACATTCACATCCTGGATGATACTACTTTATATAGTATAAATAGGATGCATACATAGGTAAATAGTTGTGATTTCTTCGGCAACACATTTATTTTGCCACTTTTGCGACGTCTGCCCTTTTACTCACCTTCATTTATTAGTCTACAAAAAAAGAATCTGGGAAGAGGAGTACCACATAGTGGTCCAGTTACCTGTTTTGGAACTATTAAGGTTACCAAGATCTGACCCGCAATCGATGTGAAGATCTGATGCTTGTGGTGCTCCCATAATGCATCCACAGGTCGGTTGAAGCTAA